CCCTGGCCCGCCTGTCAATCACCGGGGCGGTTGGACGCAGGGGCGGCCCGGGGGGCTGCAGGGGGCGGGGCCTTATGGGACCCTCCAACCAGAGGCCTCCGCGGCCGGCGCGGCCTGATTGGTGGGCGGCGGTGAAGGACAGGCCTGTGCGGAAAGGCGCTCGCGAGGTGGGCGCCTCCAGGGGGCGGGATGTCCGGCGGGCGGGGCCGCGGGGGAAACTGAGGCCTGCGGGGCGGTGGGGCGCGCTCCCCTTCACCGGATGCGATCCGGGGGCCGGATGCAAACGCAGGCCCTCCAGTGCCTCCCTCGGGGCACCGTGGGCCCCACCTGGAAGCCGCTCGAGCCCGGAGGCTCCACGTTTCGGAAGTCACATGGTGGGTGCCCTCGTGGCGCGACCTGTGCATCTGCAGGAAAAGCCTCCTGGGAAACCGCAGTAGCGGTCCCGGTGCAAAAAGAAAAAAGAAAAAAAAGTTGTCTCGCTGCCAACCTGCCTGAAGGTGCAGGAAAGGGAGCCGGGCGGCCCGGGTGCGGCGGCCCGTAAACACGCCCACGTGCGGTGCATCAGCAGCGGTTGCAGATCCCACACGTGCTCCGTCGGCCTGATGCCCCGGCCCGGCCGCCTGGCCGCCTGGCCCCCGGGTGACTCACGGGAAACCGACCTCCAGGCCCTTCCGAGATCTCCGCCAGGATCCACTCTGCCTTCCCCGGGAGAGCAGCACCCCGAGAAGCGCGTGCAAAGCGTGCAAAAAGTCACACCTTGAAATCAAAGCTCCATCAACAGAAACCCAACATCGGTGCCCCCTGCACACCAGGCACCCCGGTCCCGGGAAGGATGCAAAGATCGAATCCCGTGACCTGCCCAACACACGGCATTTGCAAAAGCTAGAACGGTGACAGGCGTGTATTTGCATAGCATATTTTCTTAAATCACAGGCCCGTGGCCAGTGCAGAATTCCCAGCTAAATAAATCCTCGTGATTCCATAACAGGCGACATTCCCTGAGAAATGTCACCATTGAAACCATAACGATGATTCACGAATCCTCCTGGGCCTTCTCTTGAGGCTGCTCAAGGACTTGAAAGGCGGTATTTAACGAGCATTTTGAGACAAGAAATATCCCTAGGCCCTGGCTGGTGTGGCTCAGTGGATAGAGCCTCGGCCTGCGGACTCAAGGGTCCCAGGTTCGATTCCGGTCAAGGGCATGTACCTTGGTTGCAGGCACATCCCCAGTAGGGGGTGTGCAGGAGGCAGCTGATGGATGTTTCTCTCCCATCGATGTTTCTGACTATCCCCTCTCCCTTCCTCTCTGTAAAAAATCAATAAAATATATTATATATATATATATATGTGTATATATATGTGTGTGTGTGTGTATTTGTATGTTTCTAACTCCCTGCAGCTACCCGCCGGCCTTCTGCCACTGGAGCGGTGGAACTCGAATGCTACCGAGTAGAGTTCAGCGTTAAAAGGAAGACGGAAAATTCACAAACTTCAGGCCGCGGTAAAATATGAGTGGGTGCCCCTGAGGAATGAGGCTGCGGCTTTATCCCGGGTGTCAGTGTTTAATGGGGAGCTGGGATGCGGACAGGCCAGGCCATCCGTGAAGGGCAGTGGGACGCCGGCGCGAAAAGCCAGCTCGGTTCCTCCGTGATCAAGATAAGAAACCTGTCATTTCTCTCGTTCACGGTGTCAGCCTTGAGCTCCCCGGAGCGGACTCACCTCGGGGCTGTACACTCCATCGATCAGGAAGATGGACAGACCCCGTAAACCGCTGCGGAGGAGGGAAGCCGTTAACGCTAATCATTTCTGCCGCAGCAGCACCTGAGATAAACTTTCCGGGGAACAGACAAAAGAAGACACACTCCATCAAGGTCAATTTAGTTTTCTATTTTTCAGCATTAGCGGCGGTGCCTTGAGCATTTATAACAGCGGTTCTCAACCTGTGGGTCGCGGCCGCTTTGGGGGTCGAACTGCCCTTTCTCGGGGGTCGCCTAAGACCATCGGAAAACACGTATATCATTACATATTGTTTTTGGGATTCATCACTATGCTTTAATGATGTTCAATGTGTCACAATGAAAATACATCCTGCATATCAGATATTTACATGACGATTCATCACAGTAGCAACATGACAGTGATGAAGTAGCAACGAAAATAATTTTATGGTTGGGGGTCCCCACAACATGGAGAACTGTATGAAAGGGTCGCGGCATGAGGAAGGTTGAGAACCGCTGATTTATAAGATAACGGGCCAGCCCACCCGCTTAAAAGTGGTGGTGGGGGGGGAGGAGGGGGAGGGAGGGCCGGGGGGTGCTATTCGGCTCCTTCGAATTAGAAAATTAAAATGCCAACCCCGGGTGCACGGCATGTTAGTTAGAAAAACCAGCGTGCGGTCTCTGGCAGAGAGAGCCGGGGAATGAGAAAATTTTAAACTCGGAAAAGGTCATCAAAGTGATCGCAGAAAGACCTGGAAGCGTCAGTATTTCTAAGCGCTGTTTTCATCTCTGGCAATTAGAACAGATTTGTAACTGTCTTTAATGGGGTAAAAAAAAACAATTAAAAAAAATGAAAGTGTAAAACAGCTAAGAGAGTAAATTCAGGGTAATAAGGAGGGATCGTTTTTAAATAATCCGTAAAACACCAATTTAAGTGCAGGTAGCATTTCATAACATTGGCTGTCGTCAAACTGCCTACATTTTTTTTTTACGGTACCCTATGTATAAGAAGTGCCCCAAATTTTCTGTTTATTAGTTCTAAGCGTTCGAAAAGAATTACCTGTAAATGTAAAATAAATCTCACTCCGCCTATGAACCAGGAGGTCGCGGTTCGATTCCCGGTCGGGGCACATGCCCGGGTTGCGGGCTCCATCCCCAGGGTGGGGCGTGCAGGAGGCAGCCGGTCCGTGATTCTCTCTCATCATGGATGTTTCTCTCCCTTTCCCTTCCTCTCTAAAATCAATACAAAATATATATATATATTTTTTAATATATTTTATTGACTTTTTACAGAGAGGAAGGGAGAGGGATAGAGAGTCAGAAACATCGATCAGCTGCCTCCTGCACACCCACCACTGGGGACGTGCCCGCAACCAAGGCACACGCCCCCGACCGGAATCGAACCTGGGACCCCCCAGTCCAAAGGCCGACGCTCTATCCACTAAGCCAAACCAGTTAGGGCTATTTTTTTTAAAAAAATAGAAACTTAAGGGGAAGGGGGAGGGCACCACGCTCTCCTATTTCTTCCCTGCATGTCCCTGAACGTTCTCACTGAGCTAGAAGTCCACCCACAGTGTCCACCCATCCTCTCAAAGGCTGGCTGACATCTGGTCGGTTATCTGGACATCGACTGTCCTTGTCTTTCATAACGCACTGCTCGCTGCCATGAGATCCATCTTCTGTTAAGTGGTGATGCGTCCTTTCCTGGCGAGACAAAGAACAGGAAGGTGCCTGGGACCGGACCGGGACCGGGACCCAGGACAGGACCTACTCGGGAATCAGAATGATATCAACAAGGCTGATGGATATACTCACAGGCCTGGCTCCCCAGAGAGCGCTGGCATTTACATAATCCTGTTTGGGCCTCCGGGAGGGAGGCGGGCGGAAGAGGGTTCGCTTTAGGCTGTGAATGGGATGCTGAGGCGCTCGGGGTGCCCAGGTGAGCGGCCTGGCTCCTGAGAGAAGGTTCCTTCCGACGACGCCGCCTTAGACGGACACCTCCTGACTCTTCACGCACCGGCTTCCAGATCACACGGCTCGGAAGGTCTCGGGAAAGCCAGGCTTGAGGGGAGCATTGCACTTGGGTGAGCTCCTGAGGTCGGGGTCTCCATTCGTGTCCAGTAACCCTTGTTCTCTTCCGTCCTGCGAGGGCCACACAGGCACACGGACGGGGGACGGTCGATGGCTAGGTGCCCAGCTGGGTCTTTTTCTTCTTCGTCTTCTTCTTATAATCCTCACCTGAGGATATTTTTCCATTGATTTTTAGAGAGAGTGGAAGAGAGAGGGAGAGACAGAGAAACATGGATGTGAGAGAGACACATCGATGGGCTGCCTCCTGCACGCACCCCGGCCAGGGCCTGGGCCGGGGAGGAGCCTGCAACCACATGCCCTTGGCCGGAATCGAACCCGGGACCCTCCAGTCCGCAGGCCGAGGCTCTATCCACTGAGCCACACCGGTGAGGGCCCCATTGTGTCTCTTGTATTGTCCCCTCCCCCACAAATCCTCCAGCTGGTTGCTGGGAGACGTACCTTCTCCCCCCAAAGACGGCTAGGGGACCGCGTCCTCCGATAGCCTGGTCATGAGCACCGTTTCCTGAACGGCTGCGAACGCCTGCTCGGTGCTGTGTGCACTTGTTTATTTTTAAACCATGCTCCTGCCCTGCAGGCAGCCGGCGTGGCTCAGGGGTTGAGCATCGACCTCTGAACCTGGAGGTCAAGGTTCAATTCCTGGTCAGGCCGCACGCCCAGGTTGCAGGCTCCGTCCCCAATGGGGGGCTTGTAGGAGGCAGCTGATCCATGATTCTCTCTCATCATTGATCTCTCTCTCCCTTCCTCTCTGAAATCAATAAAAATATTTTTTTAAAAAAAAAGGAGGAAAAAGGTGTAGAAAGAGACACAGGGACGTGATCGCTGGTTTCCTGGTGGGAAGGCTGGGAGCCAGAGCAGGTGAGTCAGATCCAGGTGAGACAGCGGCAAACTATTCTCGGCAGGATCCACGCAAGAAGGGGCGAGAGGCGCTCGGTTGCCATGGAGACAGGAAACAGAACCTGCAGGAGGCCAGGACTGCGTGTCAGATGGACACACGGACCTTGATGTGACTTGGGGATAAGATGGGAGGGGTTCCCCTCAGTCCTATTATTTGAATATGAAGACTGCAGCCCTGGCTGGTGTGGCTCGGTGGGTAGAGCGTCGGCCGGCGGACTGAAGCGTCCCGGGTTCGATTCTGGGTGGGGGCACATGCCCAGGTTGTGGGCTCGATCCTCAGTGTGGGGCAAGCAGGAGGCAGCCGGTCAGCGATTCTCTCACCTCATTGATGTTTCTATCCCCCTCTCCCTCTCCCTTTCTTTTTTTTTTTAAATATATTTTACTGACTTTTTACAGACAAAAAGGGAAAGAGAGAGTTAGAAACATCGATAGAGAGAGAAACATTGATCAGCTGCCTCCTGCACGCCCCCCACTGGGGATGTGCCCGCAACCGAGGTACATGCCCTTGACCGGAATCGAACCTGGGACCCTTCAGTCCGCAGGCCGACGCTCTATCCACTGAGCCACACCGGTCAGGGCTCCCTCTCCCTTTCTGAAATTAAAAAAAAAAATCTAAAGAGTCATCTCACTTCTGGGTCTGGCTGTGAGTCAGGGGCCCCAGGAACCTGCATTTCTGCACACGCACGCGCACACGCACAGACACAGGCACACACACACGCACGTGCACACGCACAGACACATGCACAGGCACACGCACAGGCACAGGCACACGCACAGGGCACAGGCACACGCACACGCACACGCACACGCACACGCACACACACAGGCACAGCACACGCACAGACACAGGCACAGGCACAAGCACAGGCACAGGCACAGGCACAGACACAGAACAGGACAAGCACAAGCACACGCACAGGCACACGCACACTCACAGACACACGCACACGCACATACGCACACGCACACGCACACGCATACGCACACGCCACGACGCACACGCACAGTCACGGCTGTACCGTGAGACTCCTCAGCTTCAGTCGGAACTCCAGCTCAACAGAAACTAGTTCTGAGGCCTCAGACAGAAAGTCAATGGTCTGCACCTACTGCTTCCTCTTTGCGAGCA